TGGTCTCCTCTGGCACCTGATTTCTTGTCGATTTCTGGCCACCGCAAAACTAGAGTTTCTTGTTCTTAACTGATTCTGACGATAAATATTCAATTAGTCACCACCATTCGATCCATCAGCATTCACTATATAAAACACCTAACTCTTGGTAACTTGTCGAATACCGACTAAAAAGTGAAGTGTATTTTGGATATTAACGGAATATAAACTTTGGGTAGGAAAGTGTCATTAAGGCAAACTTTAGGTGGGAACAAGTCGTTTACTCTAAAGAGAAACGATAAATGAAGAATATACTTTTCTAAAAATATTCTATTTTCTTTGAACTTTCTTGCACTTTTACTAATCTTCTTACCAACCAAATGGTGCGTTTGCTTAGTTATTTGGAGTAATATTTTTGAAATATTATTGTTATGTAGAATTTGATGGTTATTACGAGGTATGATTTGCAAATTAAAAATAGTTGAAAAATTTAGAATAAGATTTTGAGAATAGGGAAATAAATATGTATTGTGATTTGGAATAAGAATAGGATAGTGAAACAAACGTTTGTTTAGTTATTTGAAGTATTTTTTAAATATTATTGTTAGGTAGAGTTTGGTGGCTATTACGAGGTAGGATTTGTAAATTAAAAATAGTTGAATAATTTAATATATGATTTTGAGAATAAGAAAACAAATATATATTTTAATTTGGAATAAGAATAAGATAGGAAAACAAACGCTGACCGGCTGAAACAAACACTAAATAATATTCCTCCTATATACACTAAATATCCCGCCTTAATTTGCTCTAGAAATTACTGTGAAATTCAAACTCAGGCGGGGAAAATTCTTTGGAAGAAAAATGCTTTTGGGATGAATGGACTGTAGCAATGACAGGGAAAATAGATCTCTTTAGATTGTTGAACTTAATTGTAGGGGCCGGGTCAAATTTCACCATATCCAACAAGTGGCCAAAAGAAGAAACTTTGGGCGTAAATGACTTTAAGAAAATTAAAATTTTAATTAATTATATCATCATCTGCTGCTTCATATTTAATTTCTACCACCAACACAATTAAATGTCTTATAATTACTGGAGAAATAAAAGGGTTGCCCACAGCTAGCATGCAGGAAGCAGACATCCTCTATTCAAGGGAATATGATGGAACACATCGAATATATATATCAACATGTTAATATATTGCCTCTCCCAAAAGCTGTGTTGAAATGCGCTAAGAAAGGGTAAAAATTGACACTTAACAGAAACAACAGTGCGGCAGTAGAATACATATATATAGCACATCATCAAGAGTTAGTGAAACAAAAAAGGTTAAAATTTAGGTTAGCGATTACTATCCCCAGGGTGACCTGTCAATATATAGATTTTCTCATTTTCTCTCTATATATATTTTTATTTAATCTAATATCATCACCATTGTAAGAGAAATGCTGCTGTCATCTTACTGAAAATAGGCTATAACCTTAATTGGACTTTGGTTGAAAGTCATCATCCTACTTCAGAAGCCTAGTTCATGAAACCAATTCTAAAGATAATGATTTGCTTTTGTTGTAACAAACTCCAGGTACAATTGAATAGAATGTATGATATGCTCTATATGTTATTTCAAATATTGCTTCATCACTTTTTTCATAACAAGTCACTATTATTGTTCGATATGATATATATTTCTCTTAGTCTTGACGGACTCATTTGAGACTCTCGTTTCTATTTTGTATTTTCTATAATAGTAAAAAACCTAAGGTGAGAATAGAAAGTAAGAGTGAGCTGTCGTTATAATTGTTGTAGAGTTTTGATACTCAATAAAATTTTCTGTTTAAATATTAGACGTAATTCCTTAATTAGAACGAGTCAAGATAAATTATCATGTTCTGTTTTTATTTTATACTTTACTTATTACGCATTTGGTTTTAGTTTCAACAACTATGACTTCAATAAAATTGGATACGGGTTTAATTTCTTAGAACCAATTAGACAAAAACTAAACTCTTTGAATCAATTCTCCGGAGCGTAAGATTTCAAAGGAAGTTCAAGTAGTAGTTATTGACAGAAACTCTAATGTGGAAGGGTCAATTTCTTTTTTCCTGCAAGTTAACATTTCAATACCGCGGTATTTAAAACTAAGCTACGGGGTAAGAAGTGGACAATGATCTGGTAGAATGTCTATATATGTACTGCTTAGATGTGACAAAACTTACCCGGGGTGGTGCAGTTTAAACTGCTCACAAAAAAACAAATCTGCTTTTACAGGCATAATTAAATTGGCCGAACTATCCGACAAGCTTCATGTTCACGTCATCTTTAACCCTAATTGTTAGAAGTTAAACTATAGCAAGAGGGTGATGATTATAAATACGGAAAAGAATGATTAATCAAGACAAGAGAAAAATACATAGAAATTCGTCAAATTTGTGAAAGTTTCTACATCGATTAATTAGTATTCTCTGGAGATGCGGCAGTATGATGAACAGATACATAGTATTTAATTTAGTACGTATAATATCATAAGAAGAACTTTAAATGGAAAATATAATTATTTATTAATTTACAGAGAGGAAAAGCTTTTTGAAACATACGTATACTTGTAGAATGATTCTAGACTGTTGGAAAATATAATAAATTAAGAACCACTAAAATTTCAATATGATCAGAGTTAGAGTAGGGGTATCTTATAGTGGGGCCCAATGAGATTGGTCAGCTGTCATCTCCATCAGATTAATTGACGTGTGCCTCAGGTTTCCTCACTCTTAAATCATGGCAAGCAAGAATTTAATTGTTATCGGCAACATCAAACCGCATTAGGTTTAATGACAAATTTTTATCACATGCCAACCTAATTAATTCAATTTTAGTGATAGGTGAGCTTTAATTTCCCTAATTAAATCAATAAGTAAAACATCATATTATATATAAGCTGACCTTATGCATGATATTGCATATGCATATGCATGCACCCAAAGAAATTTATCATTACAAAAAGAAAATTAAAAATTTAGAAGAAATTTATGCATGCATTTGTATTGTATATATGCATCCTAGCAAGAAAAGCCATTATTTTTGGCGTAATATAGGATTTGCTTCCGAAATCCTGACATAAAACCAGCATAAAAGTGTGAGTTCTAGAACAGGGTTCCCGCGTATTTTAGTATCCTTTGTATTCTATGGTTTGTTTGTAAGCATTTGGTCTCTTTGAAAATGACTAGTAAAAATGTATTGCTATAGCAAATCTAAATACTAGATCTGTTTCACATCAACTCTTTCTTCTTGACAAGTAAAATATAAACAGAATTTTTTTCTTTTTTTTTAATGATTGGGTTCGTCCAAGTCAGTTTACGCGTATCTCAGTTAATCTTTCGAAACCCAAGAATTATCGATCATGTATGAGTTCTAATGGTTACTCTTATTAATAACCTTGAGGACTCGAACTCAAAAAATAATGTTAGACCATCCTTTTGCTATTTTACTCTCGAGATGACTCGAACTTAGAGACCATAATAGATCCTACTCTTGCTCTTTTACCATTAAGATGACTTAAACTTGAAAACATCATACTAGATCTTCTTTTGTTACTTACCTTCATGTCACTCTAGTTAATATAAACAATTATTCATGGGATTATTAATTAATTCATAAATTATAAATAGATAACATGAAATGATGTCAGTTGGCATATATAGAAATTAAAGAATTTAATAGACATAAGTAATTTCATGAATCTAGGTATATATAATTAATAAATAGTACAAGGGTAATTTGGGTCAATTAAATGATAAGGGTTACGTTGACAAAAGACATACAATAATTGTGTGTTAGTGTTACAGGGAAAAACGTATAGCTAATGGGAATAAGCAGCCCTTGAGAAAAAAAAAAATGGAAAGAGGGAGAAAAGAAAATATACAGAAAGCAATTGGTATGGCCCATGGGATGTCTAGTCAGTAGCCCCCACGATGTGATCTTCATCTTCCTCCACTCTCTTCTCCCCCTATTCCTTTCACCTCTCACCCCTTGATATCTTGCCTTATTTAGCAAAACAAAATTTACAATCTTCATCGATCACAGCGATGTCAAGTGAAAGAGGAAAAGAGTTGGCTGAAGGATCATCAAGGNTGCATCCAAGAAAGAAAAGCCATTATTTTTGGCGTAATATAGGATTTGCTTCCGAAATCCTGACATAAAACCAGCATAAAAGTGTGAGTTCTAGAACAGGGTTCCCGCGTATCTTATTATCCTTTGCATTCTATGGTTTGTTTGTAAGCATTTGGTCTCTTTGAAAATGACTAGTAAAAATGTATTGCTATAGCAAATCTAAATACTAGATCTGTTTCACATCAACTCTTTCTTCTTGACAAGTAAAATATAAACAGAATTTTTTTCTTTTTTTTTAATGATTGGGTTCGTCCAAGTCAGTTTACGCGTATCTCAGTTAATCTTTCGAAACCCAAGAATTATCGATCATGTATGAGTTCTAATGGTTACTCTTATTAATAACCTTGAGGACTCGAACTCAAAAAATAATGTTAGACCATCCTTTTGCTATTTTACTCTCGAGATGACTCGAACTTAGAGACCATAATAGATCCTACTCTTGCTCTTTTACCATTAAGATGACTTAAACTTGAAAACATCATACTAGATCTTCTTTTGTTACTTACCTTCATGTCACTCTAGTTAATATAAACAATTATTCATGGGATTATTAATTAATTCATAAATTATAAATAGATAACATGAAATGATGTCAGTTGGCATATATAGAAATTAAAGAATTTAATAGACATAAGTAATTTCATGAATCTAGGTATATATAATTAATAAATAGTACAAGGGTAATTTGGGTCAATTAAATGATAAGGGTTACGTTGACAAAAGACATACAATAATTGTGTGTTAGTGTTACAGGGAAAAACGTATAGCTAATGGGAATAAGCAGCCCTTGAGAAAAAAAAAATGGAAAGAGGGAGAAAAGAAAATATACAGAAAGCAATTGGTATGGCCCATGGGATGTCTAGTCAGTAGCCCCCACGATGTGATCTTCATCTTCCTCCACTCTCTTCTCCCCCTATTCCTTTCACCTCTCACCCCTTGATATCTTGCCTTATTTAGCAAAACAAAATTTACAATCTTCATCGATCACAGCGATGTCAAGTGAAAGAGGAAAAGAGTTGGCTGAAGGATCATCAAGGAGTAGTCCCAGTGATCATCAGTCACCACCAACGCCTAGCCGTTATGAGTCTCAAAAAAGAAGGGACTGGAACACTTTTGGCCAGTACTTGAAGAATCAAAGGCCTCCAGTTCCTCTTTCACAGTGCAATTGCAACCATGTCTTAGATTTCCTTCGATATCTCGATCAGTTTGGAAAGACTAAGGTTCATCTTCAAGGATGCATGTTTTATGGACAGCCTGAGCCGCCTGCTCCTTGTACTTGCCCGCTTAGACAAGCTTGGGGAAGCCTTGATGCACTCATCGGGAGGCTTCGAGCTGCCTATGAAGAAAATGGAGGCTCGCCAGAGACCAATCCTTTTGCTAGTGGTGCTATTCGTGTTTATTTAAGGGAAGTGAGGGAGTGTCAAGCTAAGGCAAGAGGGATCCCGTATAAGAAGAAAAAGAAGAAGCCAAATCAAAGCAAGGGGAATGATGAATCCAGCTCCGGAATGCACTTTTCTTGATTCCCTTGGTTTTTCTCTCCAATATGGTAATTTCATTTTCATTATCTAATTTTATTATCATTTATATGTAGATTTGTTTTTGTTTTTAATTTTTTTCGTTTTTCACACCCTAAATCTAGAAATCTTATCGAACACACAGTCATCAAATCACGAATATTACTCCAAATTTAATAACTGTTATCTGATCCCCTTGATGTATATTTGATCCGTAAAATCTAACATAAAACGAAATTATAATAATTATCGAGTAAACTATTATCATTTTGATACTAGCATTATGTGATAGTTAAATGGTTTAATTAACTTAATTTGAGTCTATCTTCTTTCCTAGTTCCTACACACTTAGTTTAAGTAACCAGAGAGCCATAGTACTCCCCAACCCTAATTTTTCTACATCTGTTACTTAAAAGATAGAGACTGAATTTCAAAAATGAAACCATGCATCAGTAACTCTACCTGAACATTAGTATTCTCAAGTCACTAAATGCGATTCTGACAATGTGGTACAAGTCTAAAAGCACAGGAGCTAATTGTCTATTGACATTGTAAACGACGTGTTCAGTCTTAAAAAAACACAGGAGATAGTTGTATTTTCTGGGGATCTCTCTCTCTTTAATTCCTGTGTAAGTCTCACACATACACACAAATACTAACACGCACACTCCCGTACACACACACACACACTCTCTCTCTCTCTCACACACACACACACACACACAACAATCAAACGTGCATTATGCAAAATAATACAGTGCTACTGGTACAAAAATTTAATATTTACTAATGCACGTTAGCTTTTCCCTAATTTAATTTTCTCTTTTAAGATTCTGCAGATTTTGTGCCCCATGAATGGTCAAGTGAGGTATCATAAACTTTTCATGTAGATGTATATTTAATAAACAACTTATTGATAGCAATGTTTAAGGTTTCTTACAAATCTCCTTAATTGTTATTTTAGTGTTCTTTCATACTTTAAGATGGCTTTTCTAACATAAACAAAGATATAATTGTGAATCTCAATTATTTGATAGAAACTTAATGCTAATTAAATATGATTGTTTGGTTTACGTGAACAACATCTCCAATTAATTAATGTCCCACTGATTGCTTTTCCTTAGTGCATAAGATCTTTGCAAGGGCAGTTTTGAAATTTTCTGTCTGCATTGTCATAGCCTTTGTACCTTCACTGGATTCCATGTCGTCAAATTCAGATTGTGTGGGTCAGTAAGTTTATTCCATTACAATGCTGTGATATTGGATCATAGATTTGCTTTGATGTATGACTTTTCTTGAAATGACCAAATGTCTGAGCTTTTTTAGGCTTTAAAAGAATACATATTCTTGTTTTCTTGACATTTTTCTGTTTCTACATGCTCAAAGCCCTAACATCTCACTTCTCACATGTACTTGTTGCTCTTCATCACCTGCTTCTTCATATATCCAGCTGAAATGGATTTGATCAGTACTCCAATAGGTTGATTATTAGTTAGATAGTTGAAGATTATAGAATCAACTTCTTAGAATGATGTTGTTTTGAGAGATATTATGATGAACTTTCTGAGTGTAGGTTATAGTCCAACATTATTTATATAGCGTGGAAAATGTAGTTAGCATCCTGTCAGCCTTGAAATGACATTGCTTCAATTTTCTAGACATTTGATGGAGAAATCAACAATAAAGATTTACTTTCCCAATCCTTGACATTGATCAGGAAAGGCTTCTGTAGTTGTGTCACTTCAAAATCTCAACCCAAACAGTTTGCTTTTCCTTTACAATCCCAATTGTACATATATATATATATATACACACACTCAATTATCCTATTATCTTTTTTCTTTTTTGGAGAAGCATATTCACTTCTCACTATGCACTCACCAAAATATCTGTTTTCTGGCTATAATTCATCATTACTGGCGTCGAGCGTCCACCACCAAGAACCTAGTTGAATAAGGGAACAGCTGTTAGACGTATTTATATACATCCCTTTGCTGTAAACTGATCTCCTATAGCAAATAGTTTTCAACTATTCATAGTGGACTGTGACTGAATCTCACCCTGCTAGCTATAAGATAACACACAAAAGAATATAAAAGAGTAAAACTACAATTACAGCTCAATCTCACAACTTTAACGTGGTAACTCACAATTGATTAACTCGCAATAAATCTCATCTGTCTAATTGCAAGTTGACAAATTGCAAGTTACAACGTCGAAGTTGTAAAAGAAAGTTTATAAAATTGGATTATGAGTCAATCTTTATTGATTATAAAGTGTTTACAAACATTAATTTTTTCAGGCTTCAGGTTTTACTAAACCATATGTTATAGCATCTTCTAATTAATCTTGATGTTATATCTTAAATATTAATATCTTATCTTACCTACTTACAAAGCTTTTATATTAAAGGTTTGCTTGTCTTGGTGGTCTTCTAATCTGCATTACATGTGCAAGAACTTGTAAGGCATCTTGCATATCAATATTAGGTTCCTACACACATTTGCTTAAACTTTTAGACAAGCGATTACTTCACATCCATTATCAAATTTGGCTACTAAAAATATTAGGGTTTAAGGAGTTGATCATATTCTTTATATCTCATGCACATCATAACATACACTTCAAAAGACTTATCTTTCTTTAGAATAGCGGGATATGGTAAGAGTTCTCTGTATATTTCTCATGTCTCTCTTTGTTCATTTAATCGTTAATGGGTTTACAGGAACCAGGAGATTGAAATTTATAGTCCATATCATTAATATGGATGGAGATTCATAATCTGATTCTTATCTGAGCAATAATAAAAATATGGGTCTTACCTCTTCTTTTGTGGTCGGATGACAAACTCTTTAGTTATTGTAGTTAGTTATACACAGGGTGTTATGTTCTAAGTCTTAGAAAAAGTATCTATCACAATTATACAATTACCATGGTATGCCATAATTGTGTCCGAATACCTCATTATATATATATAGGTCTAGTTGCTAATATAAGAGAGTAAAAATAAAGTGAAGTATTAAACAAAAATCAGATAATTTGAGGATTCAAATCCTATTACATCCAGACAGTCCTTTTTGTGTTGCTTTTGCTGTATATGCATCTCAACTATAACACAGTACACAAGTTCTCACTACCAAATTCATTTTGTTTAACTTCATACTTGGTTTTTCTTTAGTCGTAATATCTATTTGAAATAATCAAGATCTGAAGAATAAACTTCGCTTGGTTGCATGAATTCTGAAAATAATGATATGATTTTCCGCAGGATCATGTGGCGCATGAATGAAAGGGATTATTAGAAGGTAAAATCTATTGAAGTCGCACTGTTGCAGGTTTACGTTGAATTCAGCTTTTTCTACTTGCGGATGGCTGTAATCGAGGGAGTTGATTTACATGGCTCTCTTGGGATGGCGATCTTAAGAGTATTTTCCGTTATTTTCTGCCATTTGGAAATTGTAAGCGCTTAATAGATCAAAAACTTTATATGTAATTGTGTTGGTTATGTTTAAATCTGCTACTTGTAAAATCCGTACTATTTTTGTAATATAATAAGATCATTCTGTCTTCTCTAGCTTTTCAGCTATCATCATCATTTGGTCATGATAAAACATTAGCATTTCCTTGAGCTTCTCTTAATTTCTTATAGAATTGATGCAATGAAGTGTAGAACGGTAAGCACAAAGTGATATTTATGGTTTTGTTTACAAAATTATTTTGAAAAATTAAATTTATTTTCTTAAGATTTGAGATTAATGTGTTCAGTTTAATACTTGTCTCTTACTGCTCTTTTGGAGAAGTAGAGCGAAAACTTTTTATGTGTTTTCTGACCTTGTTTCTTGAAAACATAAAAAAATCTTTCAGTCAGGAGTTATTTAGTTTAATACTAGTTTTTGGAATGATTCTGTGGCTTTAGATTATGTTTTTCTAAATGTAATTATTATGTAAAAACAGAAGAATTTTTGAAAACGAACTATATTATGTGGCCCCACTTATTTATTTATTATTTCTTGTTTATTATGCAGGAAAATTCTTTTCTTGAATTATAGAGGTTAAAGACAATTTCCCCTATTTCTCGTTGAGTATGAATGTTACATTTTGGCAAACCTCAAGGGGGGAATTTTTCTATAACCCTAACTATACTTAGCCTTGATATCCATTAAATTATCTTTGGTGCCTATTATTTGTTTACATCTACAGACGAAACGGTTTCTTGCAAATGATAACTATACCTCCAAGTGCAAAGGAATTATAAAAAAGTTTAGAGGCTCTAGACAGTCCATTTGGACAAGAAACTATAAATTTAGAAAACAAATACTCACTTAAAACTTTTTGTTGAATGAGGATACTTGTACAAGGCATCGAAATTTCGGGGTTTTTGTGCAACTATATTTGTAAAATCAAACGCGCCTACGTACGTATGGTCGACTTGTAAACATGCTCTCTGTCTCTCCTTGATTGGTGTTCTATAGCCTGCATTTCTACGATGGGATTCTTATTGTTGAGTGTTCTTCTATTCAGAAAAAGGTTAAGACTTTCATGCATATTTAGTACTGCCTAGCAGCTCTCTTATCAACTTCTTTTCCATGCTTTAAACCTTTTTTTTTTCTTTTGTTCTTTTGGGTAGTGTAATGGGGTCGGCCGGCTGACTGTAGTTCTGTGTAGTTTAGTGAATACGCTGAAAGAAAATCAACACACGGTTCTGAATTCTTTTCTCTGAACCCTAGCACTCCACAGAAAACCCTGCCTCCTAAGTATTGGAGGATAAAACAAAAAAGGAAAGAAAAAAATTTCTCTTGATCACAATTTTCTTTCTTGATGAGGAACGCATAAATCAAAGTCGTTTTCATCGCACAAAGATAAATAAATGACTATTACAATTTACACACCATATTTATAATTGTTAGGAAATCAGGTAGTGGAAAACATATATTTGAGATTAATAATGTAAGAATAAAATCATATAACTTGAAGGAACACGATATTTACATAATTCAGTATAACTTGTCTATATTCACGGATAAGAGAAATCCACTATAATTTCATGATGAACATAATATACAAGAGTATACAACACTATAACAATTAACGGCTAGTTTCCAACCACGATTAACCCTGTACCTAGATTAGAAACAATCACACGCTCAACTTTGTATCTAAAATGGAAACAATCTCAGTGTTTTAACCATGCTCAATCCTGTACCTAGAGCGAAAACACGCTACCTGTGGTGTTTAATAACCATTACATCAAATATTTTGTGTTCTCATATTCTCTCATAACCTTCAATTGGTTTTCACCTTTATATTTATAGATAGTATGTGAGACATTCTATTTCTAATAGGATACATACTTCAATTCATAATAAAACCCTCATAATTTCATTCATACTTACTACTGTATTCTTTATTTAATATTTTTTCTAAAGACGTAAAATTTTAGAACAAATAGAAAAGGGAATCACAGTATCTCAAACAAATAGGAATGCAAGTCACAGTATCCAAATAATAATATCATAAAAAAAGAAAGGAACGATCAATATTGAACAGAAAAGAAAAATAGAACCTGGGTGATTCTTGCTGTCGTGTGATGGGCGAAAATCTCAGTTTTTAAACAGATCCAAAGGTGCATTATTATTGCACTATTTATCATAAATTTGTGATTCTTTTTGAAAAATAATTATTAATTGAAATACACTCCATGCCTCGAGACATGACTAGAAAAATAATTTTTGGGTGTATGACATGATATGTTACTCGGTCGGGGAACAAAGAATTGCCCAAAATGTATATTGCATGCATTATGGCAAATTAGGGCATAAAAAAAGTTTCTCTTTGTAGTGGAAGCCCTAAAAGATTTACTGTATCGTAGGGTGTGTGTCTCCTAATCATTTAGAGGAACAGTCGATCTAAACATATAGAAATGGAAAGTTTTCTGTTTAATTTGGACTTTAGTATGATGGGGAGGTACTTCCTTCATGAGTCTATGCCCTAGGCCCTAGCTAAAATCTGGTTTTGGAGAGTTTTCAATATTCCAGCTAGAGAAAGATTAGAAGTTGCTATCAAAGAGAATATAGATCTAAAGCTTGAAAAGCAATTCAAAAAATTGGAGAGCAAATTATGGAAAAAGGATTTAAAAAGAAGTTAGCATCTCAATGACGCTATCTCATTACATTCAATGAATCTCTCTGCTGTCTTCTCAAGACTGAGTTGCCTTTTGTCTGCACATGATTATTCTCGTTCTCACCCAAGTAATTTAGTGTCTAATGATCGGTTAAAGCTTTACTTGTAGGGACCTTATGCAAAAGAGGAATCGAGACCCTTGACCTAACATCGCCATTAATGAATGCTAGCTATAGCTTCACTTAACATGCATCCAAAATACTATTTGTATAGTTTGATCCGTATGTTATAATTAATTCTTTCTGGCAAGATTTTGTAACATATGTAAACTATACATCTTTATCTATCTCAAGTTTACAAGTTTTAAAACTTAAAATCCTTTGCTCTTAACCATCATCTTCATCTTAATTTGTTGTTCCTAACATTTCAAATTACATTATATGTCTGATCTTACGAATATATCTGCAAAATATTGTGTTTTTGGGCGAACCTGCGCTCACACCAAGAGGAAATTCCACAATTTTCTTCGTATGATTCTAATAGTAAACCAATTATATATATACATGGTCATGATAAAGAGAATCTGGATCGATTTGGTTGTCTCGAATCATTTTTTAGGGGTAGGTTTGGCCCATGATGTTGACAAAGAAAAATATTATGAATATTCTTAAACCATATTTAAATTAAGTATTATATTAATTCTAAGTTCTACATCTTGTTAACATCATCCATCTATCCTCTTTTCCAATTTATAATAAATTAATTATGATTTTGCCTTAATCATAGTAAAATGTTTGTTTTCTTTTCAAATTTCATTCGGTCCTCAATGATGTTTAAGAAAAGATGTAAAAATTGACATTTCAATACCATGTCTACCACCAAATATATTTCTAAAACACAAGAATCTAAAATACTAATTAAAACGAATAGTTTTAGTGGTTACCTCTATTAACAACTGAGTAGAGACTCGAACTTATGACCTATTGAGTAATACATCCAATAGTCACTTAAAGATAGTTAAATATTTTCGTAATGTTACACGTATATAAAATTTATTTGAATCAATAATATGAATTAATCTTGATATTTTCATACTTTACTGAATGATGCATTTCTCTTATTTGGTTCACAAGAGTTTCAAGGCAAACATTGCACTGTTCTGTGTGTGGTCAATTGCCATATGAAAGATGCGGTTGCATAAACATAAAAATGATTAAAGAGCTATTAATTAATCCATTCCACTGGCTATGCGTCCAACTGTTAGCACAAAATATCATTGAAGCACTCAGATTCGAATGCTTTATATGAAGGATTCACAGGACTATAACACATTATATACCTCTGTGACTTAATTCTGGTTCATTAGCATTTTGCGATCTAGCTCAGACACTTTGCATAATATGTTCTAGCATTCACTATTTCTGTACACTTAAGTTTGGCTGGTGAAAATTAAAACACGTCGGGCACAACTTAGGGAGAAGAAGTAATTATGAATTTCTGGAGACACTTGTAATTAGTGATCCATTACTCCATTTCTGATCACAGGATACCCAGCTCCGTTTATTTAAGGGCTTCATGTCGTGCCGTATAACATCAAAGTGACAATACTTGCAATTTTAAGAGCCTGTATAATTATGATTTACGGCTATGCATTGTATTTAATGTAAGAATAATCCCCAGAGGGTTTGTTTGTATCTTGACGTCAACTGGTCACTCTTTTTAGCACCAAAAGTTTGATGGGCTGAGACCTCCAAACCCAAAATGAGTTTTTTGGACTAGGGAGCTACACAAGGAAACTAAACCCAATTAGTGAGACTCCTCTATCCTTCACAAATTATAGACAGATTCTATAAATCTGGTATTTTAATTGATTAATTAAACTATGTATTAAAAACTTTTAAAATATATTCAACAAATAATAACCACCTAATGATAATTGGGCTTCATTTATGTTGATGCGTGATTTTGACACTAACCAAACGCACGTGTGAAATGCTGAGCAGGCCCAGAAGACACACGTGAATGTGAAAAATGAGAGTAAATGCAATAGAAAACAGTGTTTCAAGTGGTTTGGATGCTAAGAAAGCGAATCCTACGTCCACTGATTCTTGTATTAATGATAGAGGTCAGGTCGCGTTAACGGACTGACTTAAAAATGATTATACAAAGGAGAGAATGCTATATAT